CAGAATTATAACAGAGAAATAAAAATTCTAAACTGAAAAGACAATATCTAAAATGAGGAACTCATCAGGGTTTCACAGCAGATTAGAAATTTCAGAAGACAGGATTAAAAAATATGAATAAAAGAAAATGGAAAATATCCAAACTCAAGTATATATATATTTAAAAATGCAAAATATAATAAAGAACATTAAAGGCATGTGGGACTCAGAGAAAAACTTTTGTAAAAGTGTATTTGGAGTCCCAGAAGGAGAGAAGAAAAAAATGAGGAAGAAGCAATATGGCAAGAGAAGATGGCTGTAATTTTTCTCAAACAGATAAAAGACATCATTTTACAGATTCAAGAAGCCCTGTGGACATCTTGAAAATTTCAAAGAACATCACAGGAAATTTTCAAAGAACATTACCTCTATAAATATGTCATAGTAAGATGGCTGCAATCCAAAGAAAAATAACATTTTTTAAGCCACCAAACACATTACTATCAACAGAGCAACAATGGTCTGGCATCTTCTCAAAAGCCACTAACAGTTATCTTTGCACTGCTGAAAGAAGATAAACATGAAATAGAACCTTCAAAAATGAAGCTGCCGGCAAACCTACAGTACAATGAACACACAGAAAGTTTTGCAGGCCAGAAGGAAATGATTACCCAGGAAAATATAGAATTTCAGGAAGGAATGAATATAGTAAAAGAAAGAATAAAAATGTATGACTGATTAAAAAAAAAAAAAAAATACAATGGGCCAGACATGAGAGCTCACGCCTGTAATCCCAGCATTTTGGGAGGCTGAGGTAGGCAGACTGCTTGAATTCAGGAGTTTGAGACCAGCCCAGGTCATATGACAAGACCTCGACTCTACTAAAAACACAAAAAAGTAGCCAAGCATGATGGTGCGTGCCTAGTGGTCCCCAGATACTAGGAAGGCTGAGGTGGGAGGATTGCCTGAGCCCTGGGGGCAGAGGTTGCAGTAAGCCAAGATCAAGCCTCTACTCTCCAGCCTGGGGGACTAAGCACAATCCTGTCTCAAAAAAACAAACACAATGGTAGTTAACACCTTACACTTTGTAAATAAATGCAGACAAACTACAAGACAAGGAGAATGTACAAAAAAAAAAAGTATGTCACAGGCTGGGTTCTTCACAAAGCAGATGCTAAGACAGGCTCAGGCATATAAAAGGATTACTAGAGAATAAAGATCTGTGACTGGAAAAGACAGGGAGCAAGACTGGGCAGGAGGAGCAGTCAAACTGCAATGTAGAACTGACAGTCTCCACAAGCCCAATGCTGTTTGTAAGGAAAGTCGACGCTAACAGGAACTAGGCCCTTGTCCCACTGCCTTGCTTGGCCACTGGCCAGGGACTACCCTGCCAACAGCATGACCTAGATTTGAATGCTGATTTAACAGGTGGAGGCTGTGAGCTAGCCACACTCCTCAAAGGCTGGCAATGAGCATCTTGCCAATCTTCTAATGAAAACATATGTAAAAATTCTAAACGACTTACTGGCAAATCAAATCTGGGTGTATATTTAAAAGGGTAAGATATTAAGACCAAGTGGGATTTATTCTAGGAATGAAGGGCTGCTTTAAATTAGAAAATTAATCAAAATAATTCACCAAATTAATGGAGGAGGAAAACCATATGATCATCTTGCTAGCAGCAGAAAAAGCATTTGACAAAATTCAATCCCAACTCATAACAACTTTTAACAAACAAGAACTAGAAGCGAACTTTCTTAATCTGACCAAGAGTTTCTACCAACAAACAAGCAAGCAAAACTACAGAAAACATCATACTTAATTACCACAGGCTTTTCCTCAGACGGAAAAACAGGCAAGAATGCCCGCTCTTCAACATTGCTCTATTTCACACTGTACTGGAGGTTCTCGCTTGTGCAAAAAGCAAAAAATAAATAAATAAATAAAATAAAATAAAAGTATTAGAAAGGACAAAATAACTGTCGCTGTTCACAGATAATGTGATTTTTGTAAACAGGTAATCCAAAAGATATATAGGCTACTAATTATGAGTAAACAAAGAACTAATAAGTTAACTTACTGAGATCACAGGATACAAAGTCATTATTTTAAAATAATAATAATATAGATTGCACTTCTATATATAAGCAACAAATCAGTAGAAAAAAGTAAAAATCACAGCATTTGTAATAGAAATGCATCTAATAAAAGATGCTCAAGACTGCATTCCAAAGTATAAAAACAATTCTGAGAGAAATTAAAGCAGGCCTTTAAAAAGGGGAAAATATTCCACAGTCATAAAACGGAAGTTTCATCATTGTAATAGCGGTTGAGTATCCCTTATCTGAAATGCTTGAGATTATAAGTGTTTTGGATTCCAAATTTTTTTAGATTTTGGAATAACTGCATTATATATACTTCCCAGTTGAGCATCACAAGTCCAAAAATCAGAAATCCAAAATGCTCCAATGAGCATTTTCTTTGAGCATCATGTCACCTTCAAGCAGTTTCAGATTTTAAAGCATTCTGGATTTTCACATTTGGCATACTCTCAACCTATAAAACATTTATGCGGTGAGCCGAGATTGCGCCATTGCACTCCAGCCTGGGCAACAAGAGCGAAACTCCGTCTCAAAAAAAACAAAAAAAAACAAAAAAACATTTATTCAATTGAACTAGAGCTTCAATGCAATGCCAGTCAATATCCCAGTAGTAATTTTTATGGAAATTGACAAGTTAACTCTAAAGTTTACTTGGAAATGCAAACAGCCAAGAAGAGTCAAGGCAATCCTGAGGAACAATCACAGAGCTAGAGGACTCATAAAGCTACAGTAATTCCGAGTATGGACAGACAGCAGACTGACAAAACCCAAAGGAGCCCAGAAACAGACCTATAAGTATACCTTCCACCTGATATATAACAAAGTAACACTACAGTACTTTGGGGAAAGGACTGCCTTTTCAATAAATGATACTGAGTCAATTAGATACTCATAAGAAAAGGACTCCAACTTCATTCCATACACAAAATTAAATTCTAAATGGATCATGACACCTAAATGTGAAAAGCGTTTTAATAAGGTTTTAGACGACCATGTAGGAGAATATCTTTGTGACCTTGATTTGGTGAAAAGTTTCTAAACTGGACAACTTAGCTACAATACAGGAAAAAAAAAAATAGGTAAGTTAGATTACATTAAGATTTTTCATTCATTAAAGGCCATAATTGTCTGGGTACGGTGGCTCACGCCTGTAGTCCCAGAACTTCGAGAGGCCGAGGTGGGCGGATCACAAGTTCAAGAGATTGAGATCATCCTGTCCAACGTAGTTAAACCCCATCTCTACTAAAATACCAAAAAAAATTAGCTGGGCATGGTGGTATACACCTGTAGTCCCAGCTACTCAGGAGGCTGAGACAGGAGAATCACTTGAACCTGGGAGGCAGAGGTTGCAGTGAGCTGAGATGGTGCCACTGCACACCAGCCTGGCAACAGAGCAAGACTCCACATCAAAAAGAAAAAAAAAAAAGCCGTAATTAAAAGTGTTAAAAGGCAATCCAAATAGTGAGAAGACACTGCAAAACATGTTATCTGACAAAATATGCCTATCTGATGCCTATCTGAAACATACAAAGCAATAGGAGGCTAGGTGCAATGGCTCACACCTGTAATCTCAGCTCCCAGCACTCTGAGAGGCTAAGATGGCAGGACTGCTTTAGCCAGGAATTCAGTATCAGCCTGGGCAACAGAGGGAGACCCCCATCTCTACCAAAAAAAAGTTGCTCTTTTTTTTTTTTAATTAGCTGGGTGTGGTGATATGAGCCTATGTTCCCAGCTACTCAGGAGGCTGAGGCAGGAGTATCTCTTGAGCCCAGAAGGTCAAGGCAGTAGTGAGCTATGATCGCACCACTGCACTCCAGCCTGAGTGACAGAGTGAAACCTGTCTCAAAAAAACATATATATATATATAAAGAAAAAAAGAGTAGCACACAAACAGAAAAATGAGCCAAATATTTGAACAATTCATAAAAGTGGATATTCAAACAACCAGTAAGCATATGAAAAGCATAATCTGTCAGCAAGCAAATGCAAATTAGCCTGCACTACAACACACCTACAAGAAAGACTATAATGAAATAAACAATATCAAAAGCTGGTGAGGATGGAGAGTAACTGGGACTCCTCATATACTCACTGCCTGTAGGAGTGAAAACTACTGCACTGCCTTTGGAAAATTGTTTGGCAGTATGTCCTAAAGCTGAACCCAATTCTGCTTCTGCTTTTATACCCAGCACAAATGCCTACATCTTCTCGCCAAGAGACTCACATAAACATGTCCATAACAGCACTACACACAATAGCCCCAAAGTGGAAACCACCCAAATGTCTATCTACCTAAGAGTGTGTAAATAAGTTCTAGTATATTCAGACAATAAAATAATATCCATCAATGAGAATAAACTTAAAGAACACCTGTTTAGAAAAAATATTTAAAGCAGGTAAAGCCAACAGTGTGCACAGTCAGGACACCAGTTACCCTTCAGGTGTGGGAAGATGTTAGTGCTGGAGGTGCAGGAGGGGCTTGGAAACCTGGCAACACTTCTGCTTGGAGTGCTGATTACAGGATCATATTCACTCTGTGAATTCATCAGGTTGTATATATGCTTACTATTTGTGTTACAAAAAAACATAATATAAAACCAAACGATGCCAAACACACAAAAATACATACTGCATGACTCCCCTTATACAAAGTTAAAAACAAGACAAAACTAAACTGCCTTGTTCAGAATGCATATAAAGAACACTCAAAATACTAGAACCCAGAGCAATGGCAGTCACCATTTATCGGTGAGTTGTCCCCTCTGGTGGGATGGGTACCTGGTGTAGGTCAATGTTCTATTTATCTGCCAGTTGTGCTGGCTTCTTAGGAATATTATCAAGCTGTATGTCTATGCTGTGTTACATGTGTGACATTCTACAGCTAACCCAGAAGCACGACTGCTTTCTGTTAACACTTGCCATAGGTGAGAGTGTAGGTGGCCTTCCCAGTTGTATCCAAAGCAGTCAGACAGGGGGATTTGGGCTGTGTTGTGCCCCAGCGCTGCAAGGTGGCCAACAGCGACGGCGGTCGGGGGACACCTGCAGTGAGAGGCTCCCCTCTCAGCACACTCGTCTCACTTCCCTCAGGCTTCGGCTGATTTGGATCTGGTTGCTGAACTATAAGCAAAATCAAAATTTAAAAATCATCAATTCAGAGCACTACAAACACACTCGGTTTTTAAGCATTCATAGTTTATAATTTTGTTTTTTAATTCCAACTATAAAAAGCTTACAATAATTTGTTTAGAGTTTTGTATCACAGTCACCGACCAATTAACCAAAGGACTAAAGGAGCTTCAGTCCTAGATGATGACAGTTTTAAAATAAAGTTAAAAACAACCAACCATTGACCACAGCCTCACAGATAAAGGTGACCACAGACACAGTCCCAACTCTGGACAGGACTGTGGCATCACAGCAGTGAACAGCCAGGCATCCACAGCCTGAGGACCGGACCCCCGGTGGCCCACTCAGACAGGAGGAAAGCAAGCAGAACCACCACTTCAGCCTAGGGATCCAAACAATTACCACCATTTTGTTCAAAGAAAAATAATTAAAAGATTATTTGATTCTACACCTCCTGGAAAAAGACTAGTTTAATCTTTTTTTACTTTAAAAAGAATTACTTTAATCTTTTTCCAGGAGCTCTATAACCAAAATTTGCCCAAGTGGTAAAAAACACTGCTTTAAGAGGCATTCATACCAATAAACCCTGCATTTGAAAGGCACTGTGTAATGGTTAACGCTGATGTATACTTTAATCCAGTCAGGTTGACAAAGTATTGTTCCTGGGTGTGTCTGTGAGGGTGTTGCCAAAGGTGATTAACATTTGAGCCAGTGGACTGGGAAAGGTAGACACACCCTCAATCTGGGTTAGCACAATCTAATCAGCTGCCAGTGAGGCCAGAATAAAAGCAGCCAGAAGAACAAGGAAAGACTAGATTGGCTTAGCCTCCCAGCCTACACCTTTCTCATGCTGGATGCTTCCTGATCTCGAACATTGGACTCCAAGTTCTTCAGCTTTGGGACTGGGACTGGCTTCCTTGCTCTCAGCTTGCAGATGGACTACTGTAGGACCTCACCTTGTCATCATGTGAGTCAATATGCCTTAATACACTCCCCTTTATATATACATCTATCCTATTAGTTCTGTCCCTCTAGAAAACCTTGACTAATACACACTTCTGATTACAAAGGGGAAACAATCTCCTAAAAGCCATGTCTATTCCCCTGGTGTGGAGGAGACACTGGACTGGGCTGGTCTGCTACCAGCAGTGACACTGTACGAGTAGCCAAGGTCTGCAAGTGGGGCCAGCGAGGGGCTCCTGTGCCTCTAACGACACTCTCACAAGCTTGTACTGGCTTCATTGCCGGTTTCTTTCTGTGTCTTACTAGTTTTCTTTTTAAAAAAATATATTTATATTCTTTCTTTCTAAATATGTATTTCGTTTATATATGAGAGGCTAAAATTCTGAAAAGCCCCCAAATCCATGCTGAAAATTATATACTTTAAAACCATGAGAAGGTAAGTATTTCAGAGTTAAAATTTAAATAAAAATTTAAATAACGTAGTTAAAACCTTTGAAGTATTTTTATGAAATGCTAAGTCACTTTAATATGAGCAGCAAATTTTCTACCTGCTTAAATGAATGAAGCAGTCATGTGATTCTAAATTCACCATTACACACAGTGACCACTGAGTCTGGATATAGAATATTTACAGCAATAACCATGTATAATACACATTTCCCTGTGTTTCTCAACTTCCTGGCCACCCTGTTCATACAAATACAAAAGCTCAAAGTTGGACAACTCTTACCTTCCAACAATTCCTCAAAATCGTCTACAAAGAACTCCTTCAGTGGGGGGCGCTTTGGCCTCTTCAGGGTGTTAAGAAGCTGCTGGATTTTGGAGGACACTCTGCTGTTCACAGGGACACCTGTCATGGGAAGGACAGAGGAGCGCTGAGGCCAGGACACCTCACACCCTCTGGAGAAGTGGACACAGGTGTAAGGCCCATGGACAAACCACATGATTCATCAGTTTACAAATCCATCCACGTGTGGACCCCACTGGACAGTCATTTTGGAATTAATTCATTTAGCAACCACTTATTGAATACCTTCCAGGAAATAGGACTTGTTCTAAGCCAGCAGTTTTTAAAATGGTCCAGGGACCCCTGGGGCATCCAAGACCCTTTCAGGAGGTTTATGAGGTCACGACTATTCCATGGTAATGTTAAGAAGTCATTTGCCAGCTGGGCGGTGGCTCAGGCCTGTAATCCCAGCCAAAGTGGCAGAGGATTGCTTAAGGCCAGAAGTTTAAGACTAGCCTATTTAACATAGCAAGATCCTGTCTCTACAAAAAATTTTAAAAATG